TCTGGATGAAACCTGACAGGAAAGAGAAGATACTTCATTACACAGCGCAACAGCACAGCAGCAGCTCAGCTGATGTTGGTGTTGTGTGATGTTTGTGCTGCACAAATGACTTAACTATAATATCTTAACTAGAATTTAAGTAGAGCCAGAGTTTTACAAATATCAGCGCTATAGTGGCGGTGACACTGCTTCAATCATTTTAATTGTATATTAAATCCAATAACACGGAAACTGAACATGTAAAATGATAGACTGCTAATCTCAGACTCTTCACCACGAGGCTGATCTTTCTGGTTTTATTTTTAACTATTTGTGTATATGAATTATCATTCACTGCACTGCACACACCATATACACTGTATGTACATGGATGCAGTGTTATAGCTTCTCTTTTTTGTACAAAGCAAAGTCTAAATACCTCACACACATGTATGCTGATATCTTGAGCTGGTGATGATTTGCAACCAGAGCGACTGGGAGTGGTCCAAACATACTATACTTGCACATTTACATCCATTTGCTTACCCTGGCATCAATCATCCCATGAACATTATGTGAATTTATTACAATACCAAAGTAAAATGGCCATCTCTCACCTCCTGACGTGCTTGGCCAGGGTTTTCTTGCTGGCATGGAGTTTGTTGCAGAAGGGACATTTGTGCTCCTTTTTCTGGAACGGGACGTCGCTGGCGTGCTTCTTCTTGTGTACAGTCAGGTTAGACTTGGTGGAGTAACGCTGCAGACAGATGTCACACTGGAAAGGTTTTTCGCCTGTGTGCACTCGAGTGTGGCTCTCATATTTCCCTGGAAATATGTATTATACTGTATTAGGAACACATCTGGGTCATAAGATAAACACACACTACAGACATACCTCTACAAGGAAAAAACCCTTTACACTTACAATACAAACACAGCAATGCCTTTTAGAGGCACTCTCTAAAGACAGTTTAGAGGCGACAAAAAAAATCAATTTATAAACAATGGCCATGTAAGTTTGGATTTTTTTTCCCTTAATAATAAGCACCTTCATTTAGAAACTCTTGTATTTACTTGTGTTATCTTTGTCTAATGTTTACATTTGTTTAATGATCTGAAACATTTAAGTGTGACAAACATACCAAAAAATAGGAAATCAGTTGAATAGTCTTCCACACTAGTTGTGTTATCACAAATCCTGCTTTCCTTGGTTAAACAGAATCTAATATTAAACACTTGCTGAACATTACAAACTTACTTTTCTATAAATATTATCAAAACAGTAGGAACCATGGCCAGGAGATGAGACTCGTATGAAAATGTAGACAAAAAAGAAGACCCTTTGTATGACATAACTTGTTTTACTGTCTAACAGGTTAACCGTGTTAATGGTATATATATATATATATATATATATATATATATATATATATATATATATATATATATATATTTTTTTTTTTACCCATGAAATTATGGGTGGTGAAATGCTGCAATAAAATTTAAAAAGTGCAAACTACAACTCAACTCTATTAACTTTTAGGGTTACATAGCGCTGATAAATAAACAAAACGTTTTACAAAATCAATTTTGACTGATCTTCTATGGAATGACCCTCAATATCTTAGGCTGTGGTAATTCATGATGAGCATTTATAGCTATTGTATGTGTGTGCAGACCAAACACTGAATAACATCACAAAAAATAATTATCTGTTAACCCTGTAAGATAAGAATAACACTAATAATCTTGATCTTATTCCGTGGTTCCCACCTGCACGGTCAAACGTCTTGTCACATTTGGGGCACTTGAGGATCTTCTTGCTGGAGTTCCGTATGATGACTGGAGCCAGACCTTCAGGATACACTGGACTCTGGTTAGAGCTTCCTGCTGCTGCTCCAACATGCATCTCCACCCTTTCAGCAGCCTGCTGCTCTGTCCTCTGTAGATCTGAATTCTGCAGATCTGCACGGCTCTCTGCCTCATCAGCTGTCTCAGCAATAATGGCGGCATTTGCGTCTCCTCTCTCTTCCTCCTCCTCGTCCACATCCATTACGTCGTCGCCCTGAACTGGTTTAGATGCCTTATTCACATCCAGCTTGGCTGTCACATTCACTTCCCCTTTTCCTTCCAGTCTGTTTTTGTTGTGCTGCCTTGATGATGCAGTGCTTTGTTTTTCCTTAGGAGCACTGCTAGAGTACTCACCATCATTTCTTTTATACTTAGTAGGTGTTCTCCTCCTACGAGCTGATCTCCGTGTGGTAGCACTTCCCTGACCTGTCGTCTTTTCTTCCTCATTCGAGGCCTCCTGATGTACATCAGTGTGTACACTCTCAGCCAAGTGACTCTGATTGGAGTTATCATGACCGAACAGGTTTCCTTGAACATCAGCTGGACTGTGGATCTCTGTATCAGCTCCTGACGAGTTGTTGGAGGTAGTTTCCACTTTATGAGAAGCTATTGTCTCAACCTGGGTTTGTATCACACTTACAGGTTGTACTTCACCGTCTTTACATAACAGCTTTAATATATCCATCATGTCCAGGAATCGGGCCGCTTCAGTTAGAGCTGGGAGTGCTGTCTCTGCAACAACACACTCAGCGGTGTACAAGAAGCTGAGCAGGTGCTGGAAAACAGAGTCCTCCACGTGCTCCAGAGTCACATGAGTTTTAGCAGAAGGATTCTTGGACAGCTCAGCATGGAAATAGCTGCTCCCATGGGCCAAAACCACCTTGTGGGCACTGTAGGTCTTCCCACCTACAGACACAAACACATCACAGAACTTCTGCCGGCTCCGGTCCTCATTCAAGAAATTGAGGAGGTTGTTACTGTGCTGTGACATGATCAGATGTCTCATTTGTGGGGCTGACTCCTGTAACGTTTCAGAATTTGTTGGGATGTTGGATGGAGGTACACCGTCACCACTGGCACTGGCCTGCCTGCCACGTCTGGGACGGAGCATAGTGCTAGGCTTTTTCGTCATTAATGTGTCTGCAGGTCTACAAGGAATCCCTCCTGGAGAGAAGAGGAATGTCATCAGAGCTGGGACTGAACATGTATAGCTGCTGACTACTTGGTTTTTTATTCAGATTTCACAGGAGCATGTTAGTCAAGAGGTCAACACAGTGCAGCAAAGCTGACTGTAAAAGGAGTCTGTAGTCATACATATGCATAACCACACATAAAAAGATGCTAAGAGATTTCTCGTGCTAATGCGAAACACAAAACTGCTATTCGTTATAAACAATGCATTCAACACAATAAAGGCCTCAGTGGCCTTAAATGTGAAATTAAGCTAACTTAGTAACTCTGCTGCTAATCTAAATTGTTAACTGCCAGGACAGGGGCATTTACATATTCGCTCCCCACCTCAAGGACCCCTAACATTGTGTTATCGGAGTGACGGGCGGGCCCCCCTCCGAGGAGAGTGTTGACAAACGACCTCTGATGTTACCCTGCAAACTATCATTTAATACGCACTCGTATTTTAACCAAACGTCTTACCTAAGAGTTGCGGGACACGTTTACAAGGCACCGCGTACCCCCAGCTTGAATAAGAAATGTGAGAAATAAACGAAGGAATAATAATTTCCTGGATATCTGTAACGCCCCACCAGACACCGAAACAAGCTGTTTGCTCATTGGCTGCTTCAGCTTTTGTTCACTAACGGTCCATTTTTATCCGCGTAAGCACAAGCAGCAGTGAAATAAACCTCAACAATTACGACAGTTCATGCCCGTGTTACTTCATTCTCTATATAATACATGAAAAGTCAAAGACGAAATAAACAAAGGCTGGGGCGTTTTTTGTCGATTATCATCGTGAGCTCATAACACGACGGCATCATGGGTAATGTAGTCCAACAGCTAATGGCATACTGGCTTTCTGTTTTTTTCTACTTTCCAACTACATTTATCTGACGGCTAACATTTAAGATTTTTTTAAAACCGTTGACAACATATAAATGCAGCATTTTGTTTTTAAAAATGTAACATTTCCAGCCAATTGCAACAATAATATAATATAAAGTAATATTGGAGGAACCCTGGTGTGATGGTCGGCACTGTTGACCCACAGCAAGAAGGCCCTGGATGTGAATCCACGATTAGGCTGTGGCCCCTCCAGGTGGAAGAATTTACAGAGTCCCCCACCTCCTGCAGGGCAATTTGGTTGTACTGTATATTTAAATTTGAAGTACATTGTTAGCACTGTACTTCTGAATTCACTAAAGTGAATGCATGGCAATACGGTGTATATTAGTAATATTTTCAATGAATGAGTTTAAGGGTTCAAAACCCTCATCATAGGGTGGAGTCCTAGGTTTATCAGCCTGAGACTTTACCAGACCAATGGTAAAATAAGCAACACAAACAGAGCATCAAGCCCATTAGTTGTACCAGAGACCAAAGTGAATGCTCTTAGAGTTAAATGAATTGCGGTTACGTCAGAGGCATTGAAATTACAAAGATGCTTCCCAGATTAGAAACACTGGCCTCAGTTTGCCTCATTCAAAGACTGGAGCCTTGATCCAGCCCACTGCAGCCAAACTGCACTCAACCTGCAGTGCATATGTGTGTGCACGTGCATACATCCATTTGCGTTAGTGTCCATGTTTCAGGACATGTGCATAAAAGTGAATGGAAGGACTGTTTACCTCTACATAAACTTAATTCTCAAACTGAATTTCAGTTGTGCCCAAACTCTGGCACCTCTGGCATCGCCATCCCTTACATAAGAGGACATTAGAGTTCTGTCCAGGGAACATGCTTGAAGTTGTTCAGATTAGCCTCTTGGGTGCACCCCTCCCTTCCCCAACACGTTTAACGTGTAAGACATTGTAAGTGCATTAGCTTAATCCCTCCTATCTGGCGTGCAGCGATCCATGCATTTCAGTGAATGCACACAAACAGTGAGGACAGGCAGTGAAGATGGAGGTGCACATGCAAGTATTTTCACCTGTGTTTGATCCAAAATAACAAACCTGCCAAATATTGAACAGTTTGTAGGATTGTAAGGGACAATGTTGAGATTCAGCGTGTATTTCTGCATGCTGTGGTTGCTTTTTGCAGGTAAATATAACTTGTGTGTTGTTGTCACAGGTCAATATTAGAGTCATTAATATGTTTTTCTGCTCTCGTTCTCACCTCGTCATTGGCATATTTGGAAATACTGGCTGAAGTGAAGTGTACTGAAGTTTGTACAGCTGGTTGTTTTTGTTTTTTTTGTATGTTTAAAATTAATTCATTTGTGTAGACACCTTACGTGCCTCTCTGTTTACACAAATATATGTATAAAAAGTTATAATGAACTATAATCTGCTCTCTAGACACCGTCTCCTACGAGGATATCAGTGGATGTGAACAGCAGCCATGCCAAAACGGTGGTGTATGTGAGAGCCACAATGGAGGATTCAGATGCCTTTGCGCCTCTCAGAGCCAAAACGGGCAGCTGTATGGTGGACAGAATTGCACAGTTGCACTTACAGGCTGTAATGAGAACCAGTGTGAGAATGGAGGAGTGTGTTCTCCCTTATTTGTGAACGATCACCACAGTTACACATGCATCTGCCCTCCTGGCTTCACGAGCCCTAAATGCCAGACTCCCACTGTTTTCTCATTTGAGTCCAGAGGCTATATGTACATACAGACGCCGCTCCTAGACCAAGAAGCTCCTCTTAACGTCACCTTCAGCTTCAGGACGGAACAACTGTTTGGCACCCTCTTACAACGCAGGGTGGACGATCTGCTCTTCAGCATCGAGCTGATGCATGGGCATCTCTGCCTCCTCAGCCTGAGAGGCCAAGGCTCCAGCACATTGGTTCAAGAGCTTCCAGGGTTTTTGTCTGACAACAAGTGGCACACAGTGGAAGCATCTCTGGGTGGCGTGGTCAGTCTCATCAGGCTGCTATGCACTGAAGGAAGCTGCACCAGAGAGTCCAATGCTGAAGTCCAGCTGCTTGAACAGGCCTCCTCTCTCCCTGAGCCTGGAGCAGTTCGTCACAGCCTCTTCATTGGAGCAATCAGTGGGAACTGGACACTGGGCAGGGCAGTGGAGGAAGCAGACTACCCTCCTGCTTTTCTGGGCTGCTTCAGAGATGTGTTTGTAGACTCACGGCTGTTATTGCCGGTTATAGCGCCAGAAGGTTCACGCATCCAGGCGAACATCACTGTGGGGTGCAGCGACAAAGACAAGTGTGACGACAGCCCGTGTCAGAACCGAGGCCGCTGTGTTAGCCAAGGCTGGAGGGGTTACCTTTGTGAGTGCCACAGGCCATATGAGGGAAACAACTGTGCAGAGGGTAAGACTTACATATACATTAACATCATTGCAAGCTGTGTAAATTTTTAAATTAGATTCTCAAATAAACTCAAATTGCTTGTTAGTTCCCAGTTTTTCTTCCTATTTGTTCCGCCATCCACAAAAACCTTGTCTGTCCCTGCCTACTGTCCAGGGCTTCTCCTGTGTTTGTTTCCTTACCTGCAACAATAAATACTGCATAAAGAAGAAGAAGAAAGAAGAAGAAAGAAGAAGAAGAAAAAGCTCTGCATCCAGTGTTTTGTTGACCTGTCTCTCCATCCCAGCCTCCTCCCTACATAGTCTTTTTATTTCTTTAGGTACAGAACCTCAAAAAACAAATTTTCTTTCCCACAATGAAACACAGCAATGGAGGTCCTCTTTAACAAATGGCTGTTTCAGTCTGAGGTTATAACTTTAAAAAATATGTAGGTTTTGTGAGCAAAAGCCTTTTTTGGCCTTGTGCAACTTTTGGTTTAATAGATGTGGTGC